TACGATGCATCTCTGCATCTAATTCTGCCAAACTTTTCCCCTCTCCTCTACTGTTGAAGAATAACCTTATTGATATATGACCTTGCTCACTTCAACAACGAAACATGCCCCTCTACTCACTGATAACTTGAGTGACCTTTTTTGTGAATGTCTCTTTGTCATTCGTGCAACATCTATTTAAAGAAGTAAAGCCATAAATGCCTGGCTGCGCTATTCATTACTTACAAATGCACCCTTTCCAATGTGCATATGGATGCCGCTGGCCCTGCAATTACTTGGCGCTGTACATCCGTGTCTCAACTGGAGAAGGGGCCGATATATTGATCTATTTGGCACCATCGACGCACATTCAAGCATGAGGTTGAATTGCCACATCATAGCCAACACCATCGATGCCGTGTCAACTTTACTACTGGCACAATGTCCCAAGAGTCGTTTACATCACATTTACTCAACAAATTGACTGTTGTGGGAAGCACGCAAGAAGATTATTACAATTATTGTTATGGGCAAAATGATTCAATAGGAGCTTTTTTATTGATAAACTGAATAAGTACAAATGTTTCACTTTATATATGAAAATGAAACTATTACAACCCTTGCTAAAAACAAAAAAAACGAAAAACAAACAACCAAGATACAATTTAACCGGAAAACAACAAACAAAATACAAATATTTTTTTGCCTAGTTACAAAACAGGGTTAGTTCCAATCGGGCCCACCGCTCCATTCGGCTTCAGGGTTCCTCAGGGTCTGATTCTAGTGACTCCACTTCTTGTTGTTCATATGGAATCGACATATCAAGCGTCGTCTTCGTAGCCGCCAAAGCTTTGAGCTAGTTGTGTTTGAAGCCTCAATTTTTGAATTTCAAGGCCTCATCAGCATACTTCTCCATGTCCGACATTTCTCCAGCGTCAAACGCTTTGGATGACTCTACTTCTGCTTGCTTATTCTCTTTTTCAGCCACTTGGAGATCAGCCCTGAGTTTATCTATCTCTTCTTTCGCCGTTGCTAGAGTGGCATTAGTTATATCAACCCTTTCTTCGGTGGCCCTCCGAAGTAGGTCTATATGTTTTTTCTTTCCCTCTTTGGTAACGACCCTTGTGTGTGCTTCATCAGCCCTCCTCGCCTTGGCTTCAGCTTTTCCACTTCCGATTTAAGAGAGCCAATTTTAATTCCATAGCATCGTGGTGACAGCGTCTAATTTTAGCTATCCATTCTGCCTCCTAAAGCAAAAATAAAAAGGCAAACGTAAATATACGTGCAACAGAAGTGGTAGTTTTTAAAGTCAGATGAGCACTTTGGACGAATGCTACTCACCAAAATGGCTGACTAAGCCACCAAGGCAATCGAAAGTAAGTTAGGCTCTACGCGAAATGCTACCTTGTCCGCGAGGAAAGCAATCACTAATGCAACACTCAGCTCCACAAAAGGATCTTTGGATGCTAAAGCGCTAGTTGGGACTAAAGCACTCTTTATTCTTGGCTGTATCGTAAACGACATAGCAAGATCAAGAGAAGGAAAAACTCTTGACCGTTTATTTGTCGGCTACTCTGTTAATTCGGTGGTGACCTTCGAGGATTCAGTTGATCGCTTTTGTCCCCTTGGCTCAACATGTGTTTCTTCGATCATTGGTTCCTGAGGTTCAGCCACCTCTTCAAGAATTAGATAGGCAACCACCGATTGATCGACCACTAGAGAAACCTCCTGGCCTCCACTAATATCCATCATTTTCTTCCTCCCCACCATCTTTTTGGCATTCCTCCGCCTCGCAAATTGTGCAAGTGATTCGCCGGCTATATTTTTAGATCCTAACCCAGGCAGGTCCGCTAAATCAATAAAGATGTCCTCTTCTCAGGAGGATAAGTTTGTTTGGCCAAGTGGAGGAGGGCTATTCCTTTTGTCGAGGCTGATTTGGTTGAAAGCTAGACCGACTTCTCTAGCTAGTTTTTGCTCCTCTGGTAGGCAGACATCCAATTTGGCGGAAACATTCGAATTGGCACGATCTGGTTAGACCTCTTTAACACCTTGCTCGGTATCTCCTCTATTTTATGCGACGATTTCGCCTCCTTGTTTGCTGGATGGAGACCCTTCAAGACAAATATCCTTAAGGTTGGTAAAGCTAGGGAATATTAGCGTTGTGAGTTGTTGTTCGCCTCTTGGAATCGGAATGTGATCTGTTGCCGCGAATGTCGAATACGTAGGGTCGTATCTGAATAATATGTGGGCGGCGCGTCCTTGCCCTTAGAGATTCAGACGACCAACGTAATCAAGAATAGTCTTCACTTGTGCAAACACAAGTTCATTCGCCGAAGAGAGGACTTTCTTGAGATCGTTGCCTGCACACAAAAACAATTAGCATGCACATTTCAAGCCAAATAGAAATCAAACTAATAAAAGAGCTATTCGGCCACTCGGTTTGCCTTTTTGTCTAGGCATTAGGTCTAGGGGCTCTTCTTCTTCGCCGATTTCCCAATTGCGTTGAACGACAACCACAACATCGTCGACCCTCTTGCCAAAGCTTGGCAAACATCATAACTAAGTGATGGTCTATATCCTTGGCTCTTAAGAAATATCGACCTTGCCGACTAGACGATTTAGCCAAGGCATAGCAATGTAGAATCGTAGGAATCCCTAGGTTGAGCCCAAATCGTCGGTTTAGTTCGATTATGCTCATTATTATTCGATAGAAGTTTACGTTAGGCTGGGAAGGCATCAAATCGTAGTAATGAAGAATGAATCTAAGAAGGGGATGGAGGGGTAAACAGACTCCACCCTCAATGATTGGCAGTAATGGGAATATGATTATGTTTGTATTAGCCCTTTCCATATCAACCACATCATCCCTAATAAGGGTCAGTCAAACGTCATCTGGGATCGAGAAGTGATGGCGAAAGGAGGCAACTCGATCCTCAAAAAGGAAAGCTTTCAGGTATTTCGCCATGGCAACAAAATGGGAAGGCCAGAGTGAAAGCAGGAAGAAAGAGGAAATGATTGGATTAAAATTACTCAAGAAAAATAAAAGGAGGGGCTTAGAAAACTTACAGAGTAAAATGGAAGAGACATGAGCTATAGAGAGGGCATAATAAACGCGAGGAGTGTTAAAGGTGAAGAGTTATAGAGATGGACCATGTATAAAGGTCTTTCAAAAACATAGAAGGGGAAACCAATGTTCCAAACAGCTGTCGATGTGTTGGGCCTGAGGCCATTTTGTATGATATTGCGCCAGAGGCCATTCTATATGATATTGGGCCCAAGGCCATTTTGGGAATGAATGCAAAACCAGGACAAGCATGTGAATTATACGTTTACATACGGTGTGATTTTTGTTTATTCATACGAATTGCTTGCATGTTATTATTCACTAAGCCTCGCTCACTCTGTGTTATGTATATCTATGTAGGTAATCAGCTCGGAGGCCAGTCTTAGTCCAGCCCTAGCAGCTCTTTTGTTGACCCTGCTGTGTCCAATCAATTAAATGAAGCCTATTTATTTTGTAGAGTTCCTTTCATGGCACATAACGTTGGGCCACTAGTACTTTTGTCAAATGTCGGTAAACATGTATAACTTTTCACCCTTTAATGTTTTGGTTATACCCCCAATTATGGGGTTGGAATTGTATATGTATGTATGTCGTTGTCACTTACGTATATGCTACGTTATGTGTTGGGTTATGTGATGAAATGTTTTGTGATCCTGGCATTTAAACACTGCTCAATGGATGTCATTTTAGATTAATATTTGCTTCCATTTAGGCCCCGGTGTTACGTGGTATTTTTGCTATTTGATTATTTGGTTTTGAGACCCATCATTGGGTCGGTCATGCCCAAACTGCAAGTTTGGGGCGTGACAAGTGGTATCAGAGCACAAGTTGCTATCTCACACACGAATCCATTGAGCTTTAGGATGTCTAGAAAAGACTTAAGTTCCATGCATGATACTTTTGATGCATACTAAGTGAGCGATAGCAACGCGACTTGTACATGTAATATCTACTGATAAGTATTTTGAAATGGTTATTATTCATGTTTATTTGTGTACCTCTTGTGTCTATTATAATTGATTGTTATGTAGATCATGGTGAGGACAAGGATGGATGATCCAGAGGATTCTACCTCCGCACAGCTAGACAGAATGGAAAGAATGATTGTGGAAATTGCAGAAACTCTACGACAACAACAACAGCAGCAACAACCACCACCACCACTGGTACCTCCACCTGTGGTGCAAGATCATCATGCTGAGGATCGAACCATCACTCTTACGAAAGAATTTAAGAAAATGAAGCCACCTTTATTTAAGGGGGGAATCGATCCGATGAAAGCAAAGGCGTGGGTGTTGGGCATAGAAAAGTTATTTGAGTTGTTTCCGTGCACTAAAGCTTAGAAGGTATAACTGGCTGCTTTCAATCTCGAAGACGAAGCACGTAGGTGGTGGATGCTCACAAGAATTGAACATCAAGGGTTGACTTGGGCCCGATTTCTGGAACTCTTTTATGATAAGTATTTTCCGCAGTGTATGCGAGATAAGAAGGTGACTAAGTTTGAAACTCTGAGACAAAGGAACAAGACTGTTTCGAAGTATGAAGCTCAATTTGCGGAACTAGCCCGTTTTACACCTCACATGGTGGACACGGACTACAAGAAGGCGAGGAAATTCAAAAGGGGATTATGAAATGCTATTCTCGATCGAATCAACGTATTGAAATTACCTACATACGTTGACGTGCTGGAAAGGGCAGTCATGGCAGAGGGAACTATTGCCGCGCAGAGTCAGATTTCTGAGTAGAGAGGGAAGAGGCAGAATACTCAAATACCAAGGGCACCAACAATTCCACCAAATATGAAACTGAATTCGGGAACTTCGAGTGCTTCCACCCCTACTCGAGATTCAGCCCCCATTTGTCCAGATTATGGAAAGAGACACCGTGGGACTTGCTATCGGCTAACCGAGGCATGTTTTAAGTGTGGCAAAACGGGCCATTTGGTAAGGGATTGTCCTCAAAGAGATCGGCAAAATAGGAATAGAACTACTATAAGTTTGGCAAGTTCAACAAGTTCAACACCAGCTAATTTGAGAATCCTGGTTGCAAAATCCACCAATGTGCAATCTTCACATATTTAAAACAATATATAGGAGATTATGTGAAATAAAACCCTAAATTTATTATAATTGTCAGCACACTCAAAAGAGTTTGTAAAAGGAATCGCATCTTGGATATATAACAAGCACTACAAACCTGAGTTAAACAACTCAATCCACAGAGGAACGAAGTTTGAGGCAAATATATTCCGATTCTGGTTTGAGGCCTCCCATGTGTGACCCTGAAACAAGAAATTGATTAGGAAAAAAGGATACAACATATAATCTCTGCGAGGCATGTAGTCATAGATTTCACATGAAGACGCTACCTTGCATGTAGTTCCATTGCTAAGCCAATAATCAAACCATTGCCCCATCTCTGCATTCCAAAAAACAGAATTCATGGCTTGTTTTCTTGCTTGAGCCGCTTCTTGAAAGTGTACAGAAATGGTACAATCTCCAGTAACATTTGCTAAGAACGCTATGTCAAGTTCCATCTGAAACAACATGGAAGAGCTCATGTTATATATATATATATATATATATATATTTATATTTATATTTATTATTATTAGAATTAATGTATTAGGATTCTTTTGGGTTGTAATTAATTATTTATTTTTGAATGTATTTTTCCATAGCCATATAAGGGGATGTGTTTCACTATCATCAATACGTTTCAAGGTTGCCTTAACATGTTGCACCATATTACTAACAAGGTTGCAAATGGAGCCCACGTGCAAAATTGTATGACTCATTTTTGGACTCATATATATTTTACATGATTTGATGGTGTGGAAATAAGAGATGATTTTGCCTCTTACATAATTTTATTCAAAATTAATTGGGTGCCATATTTTAGCTCACATAGAGGGAAATGATTATGAGCTTAGTGAAATTTTGATCTCTCTATGTAAGTGAAAATATTGTATGCCAATTGTGTTTTTGGAATAATTTTTGTAATAATGTCAAAGCTTGTGCAATCAGTGTAGTGACATGGCCTTTAAGAATGTTGTCACTACCCTCACCAAAGATGAAATTCAACATTTGCTTAATGAACAAGAAGGCATACAAAAATGGACCACCCTTAAAAATCCTTTCTGAAGAAAAGGCCACTGCCCAACATTGTTATGACACTGAGACCCATCAGAATTGGGTCAAGGGAGAACGATGCAAGTGCTATACTATGCTTAACAGCATGCACAATGATCTGACGGGGGAGTTTGAGACAAATCCCATCGCTCATGACATGTGGAATCAACTGCATATTACTTATGGGACCACACCTGTAACCGAGCTGCATGCTTTTATTTTGAAATTTGAGTAATTTGGGTTTGAAGTGGAGCACCTGGGGTTGCACTGTAGCACTGCCCTTGTCGCCTAAGCAGGACAGCGTTAGGCATTCAGTTCTAATTGTAACAGATGAGGAAAATGTGGTGGTCCAGTTGTTACCTTTGGTCGTAAGAGAGGTAACATGGGGAAGCACCGTTGAGGCAAGCACGCTGGAAATAAGAACAAGACCAAGGTCAAGTGCTATAACTGTGGAAAGCGAGGTCACTTTGCTCGGGAATGGCTTGATGCAAAGATAGTAGACCTTCTACTTAACTCTTTAAATACTTGTTTTTGTTCACACGTATGTGTTGATATTTCTTTCCATGGTTGGATTGTAGAAGTCAAAAGCAACCCGCCATATAGTCAAAGAAAGAGTTGAGTTTGTGGATTATAGAAAGATACCTGTGGGCAAGCAGTACTTTACTTTGGGTAATGGAACTCGCGAGGATGTCCTTGGAGTTGGTTCTTATCAGCTCAAGACGCATCCGGACTGTACTTTACTCTCCATGATGTTCTTTATGCTCTTGGTGTCTAACGTAATTGTTTTTTCAATCAATTATGACTTTGCTAGGTTTTGGTTTTAGCAGTAGTTAGTTAGATTCCTACTTGAATACGGGCTTGTATGGAAAAGGTTTTCTTTCCAATGATTTATTTATGCCAGATTTGGATTTTCCCTCATATTCTTATGTGTCTTGTGATAATGATACATTAAAATTATGTTAATTGGTATGCTAGACTTGGTCACAAAGGAAAAGATAGAATGAGTATACTAGCTAAAGAAGGTCTATTGGGGCATCTTGCTAATGTAAGTCTTCTTGTGTGTGAGCCTTGTTTGGTAGGAAAGGCTTGTAGAAAGCCTTTTGGAAAGGCACCTAGGACTTTATATCCTCTAGAGTTAGTCCACTTTGACATTTGTAGACCTATAAATGTAAAGACACGCCATGAAGTTTCTCATTTCCTTACATTTGTTGATAACTATTCACGGTTCGATTATGTTTACTTGATTTCACATCGTTTTGAGGCATTGGATCATTTTAAGACTCAGACAGATAGAAAATTGAGCATCCTTTGAATGGATCGAGGGCGTAAATATTTATCACATCAGTTCCAGGGACTATATGAGAAAAAGAAGATATGCAGGCAGTTAACGATTCCAGGCTCTTCACAACAAAATGGTGTAGGACAAAGACGGAATCGCACTTTGCTTGAAATTGTTAGATAGATGATAGCGCAAGTCAACCTCCCTATATCTTTTTGGGGGGATACTCTTATGATTGCTGCCTACATCCTTAACCGTGTGTCTTCAAAGTCAGTTCCATCGACTCCATATGAATTATGGAAATGCGCAAAACTTGATTTGGAGCATTTGCGGCCTTGGAGTTGTGCGGGTTTTGTTCACAGTACTTCTTATAAGCATGGGAAGTTAGGCCCTGGAGCAAACAAGTAAGTGTTTGTTAGATATTCAGAATGCTCAAAGGGTTATTTAATGGATAGTGAACATCCTTATAGTGGAATGACAAGAAGTGAGTTGCAAGATATCAATTTCATTGAGAGTGATTTTTCTAGTATTGGTGAAGTAATGAGAGATCTTGAGCTGTTTGAGTTACAGGAGTCTAAGGAAGTCACACCATCTTTTGGCTAGGGTAGAGAATTAGAGACTCATCTTGAAATGGCCAAAGATAGTGGGAGTGATTTACTTTCTAGTAGGAGTGTTTCACTAGAAAATGACTCAATAAGGATCCCAGTTATATAGAGGTAAACATGGAATCATTCTCGTCGTCTTATGAGATTGAGGGGAAATCTTTCATGTATGCTCTGTTGGATCTTGATGAGCCTATTTCCTATGAGGAAGCGTTAGTTTCACTGACTGCTATCGAGTGGATGACTGCTATGAAGGATGAAATGAGTGCTATGGCTTGAAACCAAGTTTGAGAGTTGGTTGACTTTCCACCTTGGCGCAAGATCATTGGCAACAAGTGGGTCTTAAAAGCTAAGCGTAAGGCTGATGGGTCAAAAGTCCGTCTCATAGCGAAGGGCTATACCAAACGAGAAGGTATAGACATTCTCCCCAGTGGTGAGATTTGCCCTCATTCGCGTAATTCTAATTATTTTCGCGCATTTAGATATGGAACTTTCTAAATGCATGTTATGACTGCATTTCTCAATGGAGAACTGGTCGAGGAGATCTATAGGGATCAACCAGTAGGCTTTGAGGTCAATGGACATGAGCGCAAAGTATGCCATCTCAAATGTTCCATTTATGGCCTAAAGCAATCGTCTAGATAATGGCATTTTAGATTCCATAAAAACCATTGTTTCGACTGGGTTTGAGATGATGGAGGAAGACCATTGTATTACTGTATATTGATGACATATTGTTAGCTAGAAATGACATGGAGATGATTGTTGCCACTCAAAAGTGGCTGTCCTCTATTTTTGAAATGAAGGACATAGGAGAGGCAAATTATGTGCTCGGAGTTAAGATCCTGAGAGATCGTTCTGAGAGACTTCTCTATTTTTCTCAAGAGACCTTTTGTTGGGTGAATATCTCTCAAAAGACTTACATTAAGAGGATCTTAGAACGGTTTCGGATGCACTATTTCAAACTCATTGACAATTCGATTGAGAAGGGACATAATCTGAGCATTGACTCTTGCCCTAAGAACAAATGAGGAAAAGAAACAAATGGCAATGGTTCCCTATGCAAGTGCAGTTGGTAGTCTGATGTACACTATGGTTTGTACTTGATCGGACATATGCTTTGTAATGGGTGTAGCTAGCCATTATTAGAGTAACACATGACTTGTTCATTAACAAGCAGTGGAGAGGATTTTTTCGCCATTTTTGTCCACGATAGAGTTAGAGTACGTTGCTTGTTCAACAACAGTACTTGAGGCTGTTTGGTTGAGGAGATTCCTATAGCGCCTTGGGATCATCATGGCTCTTGCGGATAAAACTATTATCCATATTGATGGTATGGAAGCTTTGGCATAATCTAGGGATCCTAAGTGTCTTGGTAGGACCAAACACATCGATATTTGTTTTCACTTTATTCGAGGTGTGATTGCACGAGGGGAAGTAGTTCTACAACATATCTCCACTTGAAAGATGGTGGTTGATCCACTGCTAGAGATACTTTCCAGACTCATATTAGGAGTTTAGGACTTCGTAGAATTTGATTTTGTTGGATATTTCTATGAGTATCTTATGCATAATTATTTCTTCATGTGGTTTTATGGCGTAATTGATACTATTAGCACGTATTGTATATGATGTCACAAGGCTTAGATCGGCCTTCTCACACTGGCGATCACCCTGATGCTTGTAGAGCAAGCAGGATGAAACATTAATTATCTTGGAGCTTAGAGAACGAGCGAGGTAAATGTTTTGTGACTTGAGAAGTGAACAAAACTTTTTTATTGTTAGATGTCGCCTTAACATTGGCTAAGATGAGACTTTAAAAAGTTGAACATGAAGCTATCCACAGCTTTATGAAGCCTAAATATAGTAGAATATAAGATCTTAGATAGGCGCTTGACGAGCGAATATGCTAAGAAACTCAGGTTAGGTGCTTGTATAGGGACCAAACTAAGATTTGTATGGCGTTAGAGAGTGATAGACCCAAATTTCGTGGGAGCTCCGCCGTAGCATACATATCATACTATATGTGCTACCGTCTACCACATAAGGAAGTGGCTAGATGGATCCCTACTCTAGCATTGTGTGAGCCTTGTTAGGCCAATAATAGGCCTACACTATGCCCTTGAACCTGGAACTATGTCATGAAGTGATGACTTGATGTCGCTACTTTAGCATGTCATCCAAGGGTCATGTTGAATACGATCCAGAGGACCATGTCTAGGAAAGCTGTCAAGTTTGAGTAAATTGACATGAGTAGCTAGGGAAGATTGTTGGAAATCATACCCTTGTATTGTAGCTCATTGCCCAGGCGATTGTGTCAGATTTGAGATCACAATATAATCATGAGCACAGATACAGTGTTGATGTCAAGCATGTTTATGAGTTATGACTCGTGAAGGGTTTTAAAATGTTTGATCTAGTGTGATCCAATGAATCTAGGGTGTAGACAAGATATTTTGAATGATGAACTATGTTAGTTTATGGTGGCTTAATATAGCACTCCTACCTTTATACATTCTTATCAAGTCGCACGCTTCATTTTTCCGTA